ATTAGTAGAGGCAAGAAAGCCGGACAACAGGTCCCGTGTCGTTAAATCTTGATCAACCGTTCTTTTTCAAATTTTTTAGTCATTTTATTGACCGAACGGATAACTGTATTCCGGGACGATCGCTCGATTATACGTCCGAGCGAGACATTCCAAGCGTTTCGTCTTCGTTTCGCGCGGCGGGGCATATCAGTCATCCTCGAATCGCGTGGAAAAAAGGGATTTCCGTGCGTTGCGGACCGACCGGAGCGAAAATTTCTTTCGTGCGGCGAAAAAATAACAGAGGGTTACACGGATAAATGACGGGGCGAGCCGTGAACCGGTCGAAACGTATTAAATCCGAGCCAACCCACGCGAGACGGAAGGTTTCTGAATCATCGTGAAATCGATGATTAAAGCAGCCAGCCAACCAGCCAGCCAGCCAGCGAGCGACCGACGACTCCGCGATACGGGAACGCGCAAACGCGGGGCCAGATGGAGACGAACGCGATGGGGAGGCCGAAGGAAACCGAAGCCCTTAATAACGAGCCGCGCAACATCCGCGAAATGGCGATTTTTCGTGTTCGCCCGTAGTTTATTCGGCCGAAATTACGTTTACCCTTGGCTCTATTTAGGGAGGAGGGCCTCGGTGGAAGGGCGACGTCGCGTCGATAAAAGACTTCCAGAGAGCATTAATAATCGACGGAACAACGGTATATTACGGTTGATGGACGTGAAGCGACGATTTAAAAACGAACACACCTGAACGCGTATTTACAAATCGAAAATATTTACAACGAGTAATCCCTGAATGCACGACCTTTTCGGGAATAATAAAATATTTTGGACAAAGTCCACGTGTCATGGAACAAGAGGATAATTCTAAAAATTCATATAGTTTTAAAACTGTTATTCGTTCTAACAGATTTATCTTTAACCGGCTGCGATTTCGATGCAGTATTTTATTCGTGTCTACTATCCATTAACAACAGCTAGTCTAATGGATTCGCCGTTTCTAAAATACTCGGAAAGGTGCTTCGCACGGCGGTTAATTACGGCCACCGTTACATTTTCGTCTTAAAACATTTACACTCCGGAGCGGAGACGTTGAACTTTAGGAGATACCATTTACCCCAATATCGGAACTACTTAAAACGTCCTAAAAATGAATCGCAATAGCTCCCGAACCGAAATTAAATTCTCATGAAGTTCCAAGTCACGCTTAAAATGGAACTTGCGAACAAAGTCACCGAAGTTTCTTACGAGGATCATTTTCATCCAACGGAGACGGAATTTAGCATTCAACGATATCTTTCCTGAATTAATTCTACATTTATAAATCTATCTCGAGGCATGCAAATTTTACAGGGACGTTGGCTTCTCCCGGATTAATAGCGAAGTCTGTTTTTAAAAAAACCGCCGCGTCGAGTAGGGCAAAAAGGACCCGGCGTCCTGCGCGCGGTAACCCGGTACGCCTCATTATATTTCTTATTGTCTGTCGAGTCCCCGTCCCGGATAATCTTGAATCGAGAACGATCGCCGATAACGGCAGAGAGAGAGCCGGCCGAGCCAGCCCGTACGTCGCGTTTCTTCCCCCGTAACATAGTAATCTACGACCCGCGGCCAATTACGCGGAGTAACCGGAACTTCCCGTGGGCTGTCGATACACGCCACTCGAATCACGACGAATTGACGACCCCCGCAAAGTCAACGAGAATTCCGCCCTTTCGTTCGGTTGTTCGCCCTCCTCTCCCTCGATCGATTCTCGTGCCGACCGCGCGCGCGAATTAATCCTTCCCGCTCGAAGGAACGTTTCCGCGTTTTTTTCCCTCACTTCCCCCTTTTTTTCCATTCTGTTCGACTCGTTCCCCCCTCCCCGCTCT